AAAAAGAAATAAAATTTTAACATCTAATTTAAATACAATAGGCCTGTAACTAGTAAAAACTATATATTTTTAATGGGTATTGTTGGGTTTTATCAGGCCTCTTTATAAAACCCAGGCCCGGCCCATTATTTTACAAGCCCAACCCAAGCCCGGCCCAATTAATCACAGGCTTAAATTTTGGGCCCAAGCCCGGCCCAACCCACAAATTACCGGGTTTGGCCCGGCCTATTGCAAACCCTACTCTTAACTATTGCATAAATAGAACTGAAATACAACATCTTAAGGCTTATTATGTGACAGCATTAAATAAATCTATAAATTGGTTAAATGTAAGCTTTTTTTACTTTAGCTGTTGTGTAAAAAAGATTTATATCTTTTTTCTCATATTTATTTTCTTTTTTTAAGTTAATTACAAATACTGTCCAGAAGTATGAAAAACTTCAAACAAGACGAGGCATAATAGTAAATTCAAAACTATCAAATCATAAGGGTGATGCAGCACATAGGAATTTCTGTATATATATTATTAATTTTAATTTTTTTATACAGTACTTTAATTTATAAATTATTAACCTTTTCAGGCCAAGCTTTTAGTTGATCGTAATGTGCATTATAGAAATGCACCTGTTATTTAGAAACACAAGAATTTTTTGGTGAGATGTACTACTTTTTTTCTATTAAATTTTCATGATTTTGGCTCATTTGAAGTAATTAATGTTAGCACGATTGATAGAAATGTTGGATTTTTGAAAATGCCAAATAATGAACCATATATAATTGATAAAAAAACCAAGTTGAATTTCATTAATTCAACCTAATTTTTTTCTTCACAACATAAAACATAAAACTAAATAAATAATATTTAAGCACTGTAATTTTTACCAATATATTTTTAGATTATTTCCAGATTAATTCTAAATTATTTTAGAATTATTTGCTTGTTACTTACAAATTTATTACTTCTTGACAATTTAATTTAATTTTTTTTATATAAGGTCCTTCTTAATTCCATATTCAAGTGTAAAAAAAATTTACTATAAATGACTAATAGTAATATTATAGGAAAACCTGAATATGTATGATATTGTCTAGTTGTTATTTTTATAAATACCTGGAAATTTTATCATTATGGAGCTATAGTTATAATAATGGAAATTTGATAGATATATTCTAGAATGCCTTTTTTTATAGGGATAAATATTGGCATTAAGCAGTAAATGCATTTTTTATTATCCGAAGTATATATAGCAGAGAGCCTTTACATTAGTGTCTATGTCAAGTGATAGAAAAATTGCATTAAAACAAAAATGAATTGGTAAAAAATATGCATATTTATGCATCTTATATGTTGTGAAGACCTGATCACAGGTATGTGCTTGCATGACCCAGGAATTCCAAATTTGGGTCTACCGGAGAATTTCAGAAATATATGGAGAAAAGAGGAATATTATAAATAAAGGCCTTTTGAGCCCTTTGGGAATAACAACTCCTGTCTTTGCTTTTATTAAATTTATATAATAATACAAGTATCCCAAATAAAGCATAAATACTACCTCTAAACTATATACATGGGCTGCCATCAAAAGAAATAAGGCAAATTGATATTTTAAAAAATTAATGCATTAACTTTCACAACTCATATTTTGATGGATTTTGAAAATATAATAGTTAAAAGAAAGCCTACGATCTAAGCTTTCTTTTGAATACTAAATCATCAAAATAACCTCAAAGCTCATCAAAATATGAGCTGTAAAAGTTAAAGCATTGATTTTTTTTAAAATGTCAATCTGCCTTATTTCTATTGACTGTAGCCCACATAATAAACCTATATATTCACCAAGTTGTTTTAGCCTAGTATTGCCTAAAACTATCCCAAACCTCTGCTTAATCACTCGCCAAATCTAGCACGCCTAACTTAATATAACCTTTGGTTACATGAAGAAACATTCGCTCAAGTAACAGACTCGCTGATTTTAGGTCTGTTAGTGTCATTAGTAATACCATAAAAATTTCTCGCATTACAACGACTTGGTTCTAACATGTAGATGATTCGTGTCATATTTATATAAGCTAATATTTGCATAAACGACGTTCTTTCATAAACCTTAAAAAAATGGGTCCAATTAATTCATTTAAATTAGGACAGACAAGCAGAGATATTAACTATTATTTAAAATGGGCTCAACTTGAAAATACTAAATATGAAGATATATTTTGGATTCCATTTAATAGACTAGAAAATATTAGAAGGATTGGTGAAGGAGGATTCGGTTCTGTATATTCTGCATTCTGGCTAGATCGTAAAATAGTTGTCGCTCTTAAGACATTATCTGGATTTGAAAAGAATTTGAAAACAATCTAAAATTTAGGATATTTGATAACCAACTTAAAACATATGGATTAACTCAAAATACTAAAGCAAATGATTACATGATGATATTTCAATATGCTAATAGCAGAAATCTCAGTAATTTTTTTTAAAAAAATTTAATGAACTTACTTGGAAAACTAAATTACAACTACTTATAAATATCGCAAAAATTTATACACAATTCATGACGCAGGATATATTCATGCAGACTTTTATAGTGGTAATATATTAATAGATCAACCAGATCAAGATCTTAATGAAATAATAAAATCTTACACACTAGATCCAGAATTCTTCATAATTTTTCAGATAGAATTTATCAACCCATATTATATGACATTTATGAAACTATGCCGATAGGTCAACTGTTTACGCAAGCCGATGATTTTTTATTAAATAAGGCATAATAAAAACCTATATTTCTGATCTAGGATTGTCCAAAAAGTATAACAAAAATATTTCACATGGTATTTAGAGTCATGCCATATGTTGCACTAGAAGTTTTGGATGATAAACCGGTTACCAGAGAAGCTGATATTTACTATTACGGATTTGGAGTTATTATGTCAGAATTTTCAACTGGACGAAGACCTTATGATGGATTCCATTTGATTCATCTCTTGCAATTGATATTATTTATAAAGGGTTGCGACCAGAATTTGCTTATGGGACTGATGAATATTATATTTATTTGGCTATATGGGATCTTTGCTAACAAAATGACCTTCCGAGGCTATGTTGATTTTGTGAATAAAATTAAATTTGCCAGCCATCTAGCGATCCAATTTGAATGAATTTTTTTTTATTTTGTAAATCTCAATAGAATCTACAAATTAAAAAAAATTCATTCAAATTAAATAACTAGATAGCTGGCAAATTTAATTTTTATTCACAAAATCAACATAGCCTCGGAGGGTCATTTTGTTAGCAAAGATCCCATATAGTGTATGCACCCTGATCCAAAAAAACGGCCTAAAGCTGTTGATGTTGTTCATAAACTTGTAAAATTGCAAGAAACTTTTCTTAAAGAAGAATTGTTGGAATGTGTAATAATGTATAATGTACTTTATTTTAGTTCATTAAATTATTCAAACTCAATGTACACAAGCAAATTTATCAATACTCAAGAAATTAATGAGTCTGTTAAGGCTAAAGAAAAACAAATAAATTACACACAAGATATTATTGTTCATTTTTCGGTCCTAGAATCAGTCTCACAACGTTGAAATTTTTATTATTTGGCTAAATTTTAATAAATTTATATTGATAAAAATAAAGAACATAAATATGTTTGTATATTTTATATGTGATGCTAATTTAAAACAAAGAATTAATACATAGGAGTTTATTTATTCGATTTGCAAATTCTTTTGATGCCAACTACTTAAACGTAGAATTGCCTTAGCAGATACATTTTCTAATTAATTTCTTGTTGAATAATGAGACCTGCTACGGAGAATACTTGTTCCGAAGCTACACTGGTAGTCAAATAATCTCTTGTGGTTAAACTTAAAGTAGGGTACTTGCCACCACACTATCGGGTTCAAATGTTTTCCTAGTTTTTTTTATTAAAATATTACATCATTCGTATATCAATGCAAAACTTCTCTATGTTGCCTCCCATAACAAATATAACTTTATATCAATTACATCGTATGAAAAAAAAGCAAATCGAGAATGAAAGTCGGTACTTATCGCTTGCCCAAGCTTCAGTTTCTTGATCAGGTCAAGCGTTCATTTAGCATTTTAACAAAATAAATTCTCCAAAAATTCAATTTCATAACAAAAATAATACTTTATCAATAATCTTAGTTTACATTTTCTCGCCCATCAAATGCCCATTTTCGCATTTCAATTTCCGGTGGATAAAAGATCTGTAGAGAAGAAATTATTAGTTTTAAAAGGAAAAATCAGGTACTTATCAGAAATGTTTCCTCACGCAGTTCCAAGTCCTCAAGCACAATCCATGTGTCAACCATTCTAATAAATCAAAGACCTGTAAAAAAGAATAAATATTCAAAGAAAAAAAAAAAGGACAAACAAACAAAGAACAAAATCTAGTACTTATCTTCCATTTTCGACCATCCATGTTCCAGCCGTTTTGACGAATTAAAGGCCTACAAAAGAAAAATAAATTAGTTACTGTTTCAAAAAAAAAAAAAAAAAAACGCAAACAGAAAAATGAAACTAGTTACGTACTTATCAGGGTTGCCATTTTCTTGACCAGATTAGATTTCCAAATACTATTTGTGTTTCACTCTAACAAATCAAAAACTTACAGAAAGAAATTAGTTCCCATTTAAAAAATATATATATATATACACTCAGAACAAAAATAAGATCAAGTACTTATCAATCACCTATCCCAGTTACCATTCTTTCGGCTTGATCCAGATCTCAGTGCCATTCGTGTTCCAACCGCCTTAGCGAATCAAAAACCTACAAAAGAGAAGAGAATTAGTTCCTATTTCAAGAAGAAAAAAAAAACAGTCACTAAACAAAAATGGAATCAATACTTCGATCCGAATCTCCAAGTATCATTCGTGTTCTAACCACTCTAACAAATCAAAGACCCATAAAAGAGAAGAAATTAGTCCTCAAAAAAAAAAAAAAAAGAAACCCGAATGTTAGAATAAGAATAAATGGATACTTATTCAAGTTATTTGAAACAAAAAAAAAACAGATGATTTTATATATGAAATTTGGTTTAAATCATCGTTGATGTGACTTTTGATAAAATTAGTAAATGTATATAGATTCTACTTGAACGGTCGCATTCAACTGTAATTATTATTTTTTTCAAACTTTTAACGAAGATATCTTGACAACCAACTATCTAAAAATTATTTTAATTATATATTCATATAGAATCAGAATAAAAAAAATTTCATCGATGTTATCGAGGTATCTTCGCTCAAAGTTCAGAAAAAACTTAACCACAACTTCTCATCCAAGTTTTTCTAAACTTTGAACGAAAATATCTTAGAAACCACTTATCTAAAATTGATGAAAGTTTTTACAAGAATATTGAAAATTTCACGTAGTGTATGGTTATATGGCAAATTAAATGGCATTCGTACACAAAATTTTGCATCTTATTGGATATATGCATGTGGTGAAGTAAAGGTGTGAATGTTTCGCATGTTACATCTTCACATTCGATGTAACACTTGCTCCTGTATTTTGTGTTGCATGAAATTGTTGAAAGCGCGATATCTGATTCTGTAATTTATTTTCGCTTAATTACTGATCTTGATTGCCATTATACTATTTTATATGTTATGGTACATACGTACGTACTGTAGATACCAGATACAATATCTGGTATGTAGTACTAACTTTCTATTAATCAAGCATAGTAATAATGATACTGTACAATAAAACATCCCGCCAAATTCTAAGAGAGTCACCATTATCCAAAAAATTCAAATTTCATAAGTCCTCAATTTTTATTGGTTATTAGAAAAAAAATAGTGACTTTGATATTGATTAGATTGTTCGGAAATTTTCGCAAAGACTACTTATCAGTTATGATACTTCCGATATGGTTACACGAATATTGAAGTAATATCATAGGAGTATTACTGTACTGTTATTAAATAAATCAAAAAAAAAAATACTAAACTACGAATTAACATGACGAGAACATGCTATATAAATAATCGTGTAACGTTTAACGTTGGTCTGAAGTTACGTTGGTTACTTTAACAAATAATATATTAATATATATACTCCTTGATTAAGCAACTGTCGTTTTTTCTTTTGGAATTTGTTCCGTTAGTATTAATCAGTCAGCTTCAGCGGTTATGTTATATATCCGAATTCTGATCCCATCAAAGAGAAGTAATTCTCGTTATAGTAAGTGATTGGTTCCATAATAAAAATTTGTTAAAATCTATTATATCGGAATTTATTAGCATAGACTGGCTTTGAGTCTATCGAGATTTTAAATATTCACTATATCAAGAGACTATCTGACTTGTATACTTATTTGGGCAAATACAGTACGCCACTGACTATAGCACCCTCCTGTTATAACATCCCCATGAAAAAGGCCCAGGCGATTCATATTTATTGAAAAAAAGACTGGGTATTATTTTAGGTAAACAAATGTATTAATAATATCTGATATAGTGTAGAATATACAAACCTACAGTATATAATTCGTTTGTATATGATTAATCAATCGAACCGTAGGATCTTGGATATCTCTTAAAATTTATTATGTAAACCTATCGTGGGCTTTTAAGTAAAAATTTTCATTACGCTTAACTCTAACTTTATTCTTTAAATTTAAATTTAATTTATAAAAATGAAAATTTCCATACATATATATAGATGACTTTTACTAAAACGCACCTATGGTGTGGTGCTTTTACACCTATGTATTATTATCTCAAAAATTGGCTAATTAATCAATTCAATCCTAAGTAAAAATGCTCTACGCCCCTAAAAACCCTTCCCGAATTCTACACTAACATGAAAATTTTGTGATGAAAATTTTTATATTCAAACTTGGAAAATTCTAAAAACATATAGGTGCGTTTTATAATAAATGTATATAGATACTGGAATTGTATATGGAGGATTTCTGAAAAAAATCTCCAATATCTTAGAATTTTGCTATGAAACAATCTAAAGTCTTTAGCAAAAATGTTCAGCACACAAAGTTTACACCTTCCAATCTTTAAAAAAATTATTTCATATTGATATACAGTACCAGGTAACTAATCTTATGTTACACGAATTTATAAATCAATGAAAAATAATAAATTTTCTATTATAAATTAAAAAAAGTGGCGATTTAACTGCTGGTTAAATTTTCTTATTCAATAAAGATATTAATTAACCAATTACCGGCATATTCAATTTAATAATTAGACATATACTGTATATATTTAAAATAACGAAAACTATGTGGAGTATCCTTATTATAATACCCTCCCTCTATAATTAGTACCTAGACGAGATTATCTGGATACTGTAATCGTCTCAAATATTCATAAAAAGAAAAAAATCAATAGAAATAGATATTGAACTTTATGTATATTTACTCACTGTAAAGTAGAACTATTTAGAATAGTGATCACATGCATGATGGTTTGTGTCATGAAATTAAAAATTAGGGAAGAGAAAATTCCCGAATTCCCAAAAGAGAAAGGAATGTGCAAAAGTCTAGAAACTCCTTGAATCGTGTGAAAATGCTATTAGATTGAAAAAAAGCACTATTTTTAATAATAAAATGATAGTCTTAGTCATATCTGTAAAATAATCTATAAGGTCGTTGTTTCTACAGTACTGTACAATATAAAAAATTCAGATCTACTCTTATCGCTATACTAATATTAATATTTCTATCTCTATCCTTTTTTGGTTGTGCTACTGCGCAAAATATCGATAGGGAGTAGTTAAATTAGATACTAAAATTCCCGTTACCTCCAAACAACTTCTCACAACATCTCATCTCGTCTCGTCTCAACCTTATCTCAAGCTTTATCTCACCATGCTAACACCACCTCGCATAATGCTACCACTACCTCTCGAGTGTCACTACATAATCTTCAATATCTTTCGTCATGACCGTAATAAATTATTTTTATTAGCACTTGTAAACCGTCAATAGTGTAGAATTATTATACCAATATTGTGGAATAAACCCCGTTTTGATGATGAAAGATTTATAACCAGACTTATTCTAATGTTAAACTCTGAAGAGCAAACTTTATTGAATAATTTGAATATTTTGATCCCACCTCGACAAATGCCACTTTTTGAATATACAAGTTATATCACTTCCGTTGCCACCGATGATCTGTATTCTGGAATTAAAAAGTGGATTACTCTTAATTATGGATCCAAAGCAGTACATAAGATTAAAAATGAAGTTAAACATACTATAATTAAAATGCTTCTACGAACAGGCAAAAATCTTACCTATTTGTATCTCCGTGATGTTGATTGTGAAAAAACTATGTTTAAAAACACTACAGTTACTTCTGTAGATTTACATTTACCAAAAGGAAAATTTATAAATGGACTAGTAATGAACCTTGAAAATAATTATACATTGACTTCTTTGAAACTTAATCAGTTCAACTTAATAATAGAAGATTACAAAAGTTATTGGTGGCTCTTTACGAAAATAGAAAGTTAAATTCTTTTGGTATTTATGCATATCAGATTTGCAACAATGGGGAAAGATTTTGGGAAGGTTTTTTAGGAATAACTTCTTTAAATATTTGCGGATCGAGAGAGTACCAAGACCGAAACGATAGGTCATCATTAGTAGGAAGATATTTAGCAGGTGCACTCCGTATAAACAATACATTGAGATATTTGAAATTCAAAAATTATGATATTGGATTAGAAGTTAGGCAAGAATTTGCTGTCGCGATTGGTACAAACACTTCCTTGATTACTCTGGAACTCTGGAATAATAAACTTGGATCAGAAGGGGAAGTGCATTAGCTGATGGCCTTTGCGAGAACAGTACATTAGAGGCTTTACATATTAATTATAATAATTTAGGATTCGAAGGAGGAATTGCATTAGTTAGTGCACTTTGCAGGAATACTTCGCTGAGAAGATTCCACATAAATAATGATAATTTTGGACCAGGGGAATGGGATACGATATATGATGTATTTATGTCTTTCAGGGACGAAGGGTACATTAGCCAACGCGCTTTGGAAGAACAGTACCTTGATATTTTCGATGAATTGTTTTAATTTTTTTTTCCCAAAGCTAAATATGTAATTCTAAATACTATAAAGCCCGGTTATAATAAATATTTCTTTTTTTTAGTTACGGCGTTTCTACGTAGTTTGGTTTGGGAATCGGTATTTCTACCTAGTTTGGGTTCGTAATTAAAACCCAAAAATGTATCCCATTTCGGTAAATAGTGTCAAACTCAAAACTATCAATTCATTAAATAAATATTCGGCGTTTAATAGAATTATTCGGCAAATTTGACCTTTAATCAGG